ACCTACAAGAATGTTCAGTCCTGCATGGTTTGGCTTGGTGGATAGAGCGGTGGATAGAGCGTTAGCCTGCGGACTGAAGGGTCCCAGGTTCGATTCCGGCCAAGGGCATGTGCCTTGGTTGCGGGCACATCTCCAGTAGGGTGTGTGCAAGAGGCAGCTGGTCGATGTTTCTAGCTCTCTATCCCTCTCCTTTCCTCTCTGTAAAAAAAAAAAAAACAAACAAAAAAAAACAATAAAATATATTTAAAAAAACAAAGCTATTATGTTTTATATATCTACATGTCTATATCTATCTACATATATCTAATTCTATATGTCTATATATCTACATGTATTTATATATATATATAGATATATATAATTTTTAAAAAACTGTCCACACCAGCAATGCACATCACCAACTGCAAACAGCGCCCGTGCGCTCCCAGCAGCGAAACCGCCTCAGACTCCAGCGGGAGGCCGCCCCCTCCCAACGGCCCGAGGCCGGAACCCCAGCGCACCCCCCAGCCCGGCCCGGGCGGCTGGGGCTTCCGCCTCGCGAGACCCGGATCACCCGCCCGTCATTGTCCCCTTAACCCGGCCCCGACGCCCACACACGCCGCCCCCACTTCCCTGAGCCCCACGGAACCCCGAACCGCAACCCGACTCCGCGGCCATTCGAAATGCCCCCCGCCCCTCCCAGAGCCCCGCACAGGCCCGGACAGCCGGGACCCTATCCACCGACCCCGCGTCGCCGATGCCCCCAAAGGTAAGGTGACCAACGTCCCGCTTTTGGCGGGACAGCCCCGATATTTAACAATTTGTCCCGCGTCCCACGGCGTTTAAAAAAGTCCCGATTTTTGGGAAGAATGCGACCGAAGGTTACACTCCCGCCAACGGAACCGATTGCTGGAATCGGCGCTCCTTTATGACGTCAGCCCCTCCGCCAGCCGCTGGCCGGGGCCTTCCCGCGGTCTCTGCCGCCCCCTGGTGGTCAGCGCACATTACAGCGCGCAGTCCCGCTCCCATCTGAGGGGAGTGTCTGTATTTTATTGTATTATATGGGATGAAACAGGTGAGATCTAATCTTATTTTAATTTCTCATAGTTCCATAGGATAAATTTTGTATGTACGCCTACATGTAATTAATGTTAAGTGGCTAAAATAGCATCCTGGATGGTAGAAACAAGATAACTAGAGCAACATAAAAGTTATGTTTCAGCCCTGGCCGGTTTGGCTCAGTGGATAGTGCACAGGCCTGCTGACTGAAGGGTCCCCAGGGTTTCATTCCCGCCAAGGGCAGGCCCAGGTTGTGGGCTCAATCCCCGGTGGGGGGGGGGGGCGTGCAGGGGGCAGCCACACAATGATTCTCTCTCTTCTCTCTCATCATTGATGTTGCTATCTCTCCCTTCCTCTCTGAAATTATATATATATTTAAAGTTACTTATTCACATAATCTTGAAATATGTTTCGGTTCTTAAAAATCATTTCCTGCAAGAAATTTCCCACCACAAGCTTCACATTGGTTTTCATTTACTGGATAATACCTGACCTTTTCTCTTTACAGGATTTTATTATTTTTTTATTTTAATATATATTTTATTGATTTTTAACAGAGAGGAAGGGAGAGAGATAGAGAGCTAGAAACGTCGATGAGAGAGAAACATTGACCAGCTGCCTTTTGCACACCCCCTACTGGGGATGTGCTGGCAACCAAGGTACATGCCCTTGACCAGAATCGAACCTGGGACCCCTCAGTCCGCAGACCGACGCTCTACCACTGAGCCAAACCGGTTTCGGCAAGGATTTTTTTTTTTTTTAATAGATTTTTATTGCTGAAACTGGTTTGGCTCAGTGGATAGAGCATCAGTCTGCAGACTGAAGGGTCCCAGGTTTGATTCCGGTCAAGGGCATGTACATTGGTTGCGGGCACATCCCAGGTGGGGGATGTGCAGGAGGCAGCTGGTCTATGTTTCTAGCTCTCTATCCCTCTCCCTTCCTCTCTGTAAAAAAAGAGAAAAAAAATCAATAAAATTTATTTTTTTAAAAAAGATTTTTTATTGATTTGAGAGAGAGAGGAAGGGAGAGACATAGAGAGAGAGAAATATCAATGAGAGAAACATCCACTGGCTGCCTCCTGCATGCCCCCTACTGGGGAATGAATCACAACATAGGCATGTATCCTGACTGTCCTGATCAGGAATTGAACCAGTTACCCATTGGTTCATGGATGTACACTGAGCCATGCCAGCGGGCTCTTATTGCTGGTACATGGCTCTGACATTAGGGCGTGACTTTTGGAACCTCATATGCAGAAGGAATCCTGGAGACCTGCAGGATCCTGGTCTCACTGGCGAGGGCTCACCTCTCCTCCATGCACAGGTCCCATTCCTAATGTTATTCTCTCCTCTATGTGCAGAGCGGTTGTAGGAGACCTCTGTGCTCACCATGTCTTCCCTGCGGCCCAGACCATATTCTGAACACACGTTGTCCTTTTCAGTTCCTTTTTGTCTGTGTGAGGGATCTTTGTGTTCCAACATAGCTTGTTGTGTGTTTTTGCATAAAAACCCTTACCCTATTGCCCAGCACACTCTGGCCACAACTGAGACCCTTACTCCAGATTTCAGTTAACTAAGAAATACAAATACACTTTTTAGGATACAGGCTATATTTTTAAAAAATTAAATGTAGGTCATTTTATTTTTTATTATTTTTTTAAACATGTATTTTATTGATTTTTTACAGAGAGGAAGGGAGAGAGATAGAGAGCTAGAAACGTCGATGAGAGAGAAACATCAACCAGCTGCCTCCTGCACATCCCCCACCAGGGATGTACCCGCAACCAGTGTACATGCCCTTGACCGGAATCGAACCTGGGACCTTGCAGTCCACAGACCAACGCTCTATCCACTGAGCCAAACTGGTTTCAGCAAAGTAGGTCATTTTAAAGAGAATAATAATGATGGTCATAGCTAAAGTCTCCTAAGCATGGACCTGGTGTTAAGTTAGTTTCAGACACAGTTCAATCTTGGCTGCCACAATCAGACAGAAAGCGCGAGGACCCTTTTTCTCTTGCATCTGCACTGGACCCATTGATTTTTAGAGATGGTAGAAGAAAAAGGGAAAAACAGAGAGAAACATCAGTACCAGAGGGACACATGGATTGGTTGCCTCCTGCATGAGCGTGGGGCCAGGGAGGAGCCTGCAACTTAGGTGCCTGCCCTTGATCTGAATTGAACCAGGGAGGACCCTGCCCTGCGGTCCGCAGACCCAGGCTCTAGCCACCAAATCAAACCGGCTAGGGCAGGATATGACATTTCTTAGCCCCTCCAGTAGCAGACCTCCACTTTTTCCTCCTGGAGTGAGGTGGAAAAACTCTAAAACACCGGCTGGCATTTTTTTTTAAATTATATATTTTATTGTGGAGGTATTACTGATTTGAAAAAATGCTAAGTAATTGATTTACTACCTGAAAAATTTAAAGTTCTGAAAGTTAAGGTCTCTAGCCAAAAAGAGATTTTAAAGCTAACACCTTAATTTTAACGGAGAAAGGGGAGGACAAGCCCTTCCCACCCAGAACAGGTAATCCAATTCCCACCCGCAGGTATCTTTAAACAATGTGTTCATTTACATTTGAATGGCTGGGCCTTTTGATAGCCTAAGGGCAAGTTTACATGTAAACAAATTTGCTTCTCAGTTCCCAGGGCAGAAAAAACAAGGTTTAAAATTATTAGATTTTAAAATTTATTCTTAAAAATATAAAAGTTTATTAGTTAAAAAAAACAAGGAAGTTAAAAAACCTGATGAACAATATTAACTGTTGATTTTAATAGAATCAGAGATACGGGAGGGGAGTGGACTGACAATTCTCAGGGAAAAGGGGATCGGTGGATGCGGGAAGAGACGGAATATAAACTGCACCTATGGATGAGGACAATGGGAGGGGGGAAGGGCAGAGGGTGGGGTGGGAACCTGGTGGAGGGGGGAAGAAATGAGGAACCTTTGTAATAATATGAACAATAAAGATTGATTTAAAAAATTATATATATATATATATATATATATATTTTTTTTTTTTATTGATTTCTTAAAGAGAGGAAAGGAAACATAGAGCGAAATATCCATCAGCTACCTCATGCACACTCCCCATTGGGAATGTGCCGGCAACCAAGGTACATGCCCTTGATCGGAATCGAACCTGGATCCTTGAGTCTGAGGCCGATGCTCTCTATCCCTTGAGCCAAAATATTCAGAACCTGGCTGGCATTCTTTTTTTTTTTTTTTTTTAAGACACCCAAATCTCTTTTATTTGGGGATGGGGGGAGGTTGGAGCACTGGGGAGGAGCGGGCCCCAGGCCCTTCCACGGCAAGGCTTGTTCATTGGCACTGCTTCCTGAGTCCTGTGGCTTCATCACGTCAGGCAGCTCTGGAGGGCTGGAGAAGGGCTCAATGCGCAGAGCTTCAAATGCATCATCTTATAATTTCACTCATATGTGGGATCTGCCCGGAAGGCCAACCCCACAGTGGCTGGAGCCTGTGGCCTCGCTGTTTGACTGGTGAAGCCACACTTGCCCAGGGTCTTGCTGTCATCCAGAAGTTGGTCATCCTTGTACAGCCGCTGCTCGCCGGGCGGCCGCTTGAGAATGCCCTCGACGATGCGCTTAAGCTCGAACACGGTGCTCGACTCCTTGGCGTCCGTGAAGATGGTGGTCTTGTGGCGCCGGATCATAAGGAAAACGTCCATCGCAGCAGCTACCTCTCCCACTCGACGCGCCGGCGCGGCCGCCCAGACTGGCATTCTTATTAAGCTAGTTACCAAGAACGCCCCCGAGTAGCAACGAGCTTAGCCAATGAGCGGTCAGAAAAGGCACTTCCGGTGCGGCTCAGGCGCAGAGGCGGGACTTCCGGCGTCTTCCTCACTGAGGCGTATTTTCTTCATCGGGAATCAGGCTGCAGCCTGCCAGTCCTGGTGGAGCAACCTCAAGGGCGGAGGCGGGAGAGTCGTGGTCCTCCGCGCAGATATACGGATTTTAAACTCCGCGTTGCAACCCCGGGGACCTGGGCCGGGGCCAGGACAGAAACTGCCCTTCCTGCCGCTGCCGCTCCTCCCGCCCGGAGCGCTCCGCCCACGGAGGGCAATGGCGGCGCCGGCGCTGAGACCGGGGGCTGAGGTGAGTTCCTGTCCCCCAGGCCCCCCGCCTCCTCACCCCGCACCCCACAGCCCGGTGCGGGCCTGTCCCTCCCTCAGCTCCGTCCGCGGGGAGGACCGTGAGGAAGGCGGAGGGGAGGGAGGAGCGCGGTGGCTTCTGAGGACACAGCCAGTGCGGGGCGGAGGGGACAGGGGTGACCGGCCTCTGAGGTTCCCCTGAGGGTGTGGCTGTGAGGATTGGCGGGCAGATCAGAGGCTGCAGGGAGGCCGTCACAGCCTCATGGGGGCTTTCCCGGCTGTGGGGTCCCTCAGGGGCCTGGGGTGGTCCTGGACCCGCTGGAAGACAGGCTTCTCCACATGCCATGTGCCAAGTTCCTGGGGGAGCCCAGCGAGACCCAGTGGCATTGGAGCAGGAAGGGGGCAGAGCTGAGGGAGTGAACCCGGGACTGAAGATGGGAAGGGAATAAACATTACCCAGTGTCTGCACATCTGGAGGAAGTGTGAGCTGATGGTCCCCGGGACCTGGTGTGGGGACTGAAAGGCGAAGAATAAGGCCAGGCTTGGCTTTGTCTGGGAGGCATGGTCTAGGAGGCTGCAGTGGAATTGCGTGGCAGGAAGGCTGGGGCCCTGCAGGCATCGCCCAGAACGTAAATGGCATTGCTCTCTCCCGTCCCGTCTCCCAATTTTCCCCACCCAGCCCAGCTGCTCTTGCTGAGGGCGGTAATGATTAATAGGACTTGAAGGGAGATCAGCCAGCCTTAGAATTAGGCCCTGGAGGAGGCTGAGCTTGGGGAAGATGGGCAAGTAGAATTACTGGTTCTCAGAAAGACAGCCCTGGTTTCGATTGTCTCCATTCTAACAGGTTGGCATGACCTTGGAGGACATTGCCCTGTACTTCTCCAGGGAGGAATGGAGCCTCCTTGATGAGGGTCAGAGACAGCTGTACCTGAATGTGATGCTGGAGAACTTTGAACTTGTATCCTCGCAGGGTAAGACCCTCACTGTCACCTGAACTTGGCTTTGCTATTTCTCTTGTCCCATCTCCCAGGGAGTGCTGTGTCCTCCCATGTAGACTGTGGTTCTGCTTGCTTTTCTAGTTTCCTGGGTAGTTGGTGTCCTGGGGAGGGTTGAACTGGTTCCACTGCTCCCTTCTATTACAGAAGTCCCAATTGTCCCCGCTGGACTAAGTTCACAGGGAAGGCCTTGTGGTTGGTAGTGTTGCAGGAAGCCTGAGGGATTCTACTTTAATTAGTGAGGAAAGCATTTTCTATATTCCTGCTGGTCACATGTACATATTATATTTTTTGAAGAATTGTCTCTACCTCCTTATTCTATTTATTAACTGTAGTTTGTGGTTAAAGAGTCTTTTGATTACCTTGTATATTTTATATATTAATTGCTTATTACAGACAGGAGCACATATTTTTGCATGTGCTTAATTGTGCTTTGCAAATATTGCCCACCCCCCCTTCTCTTTTTTACAAATTCCATGTTATTGGCAAACCTGCATTCACCAGGTGTAGTGCCACCATTTTTCTAACAAGCTCAAATGCTGGTTGCCAGTGTTTAGCAATCAAGTATATTTTAAGTTATATAGAGCTGGTGGTGGTGGTGGTTGTTTTTTTATACAGTCATTGCATTGTTACTAACCTGTAGCATAGTGTTAACATACCTTTATTATTCCCTGGGAACTCCAACTATTTGTGTGAATTTCTATCTGTATCGCAGTATTTGCTTTATTGTACTGATCTGAACTGAATCCACAATATCTCCACGTGATTCCTTCATAGGATTTGGGAGTATTTTCTCCCATCCTCTAGATTGCCTTTCATTTCATTTTGTTTATTACTGTTGTGCTGTGAAGAAACTTTTTTTTTTTTTTTTTATACTTGTTGCAGTATGGACTTTATTTTTTCTATGTTGCCTGGTGGTTGGTGTTAAATTCAGAAAATCCTGTCCAAAATAAACCTCCAAAATTTTTCTTTAGGTTGTCCTGAGGAGTTTTAAGTTTTAGTGCTGACATTTTATTCTGTCCTGCAGGTTGAATTAAATTTTATCAGTGGTGTCAAGTTTTGTTGTTTTACATGTGATTATTCATTCATTGAAGAAACTATCTTTCCTTTCTTCTTAGTCTTGCAGCTTTGACAAAGATTACTGGAACCTATGTGTCTGGGTTTATTTCTGTGTTTTTTGTTCTGTTCTATTGATATATATGTCCGTGTTTCTCTAACAACACACTGTTTGCTTGCTTTTTCTTTGTAATAAATTGAAGTCAGAAAGTATGATGCTACTAGCTTTGTTCTCGCTCAAGATTGCTTTTGCTATTCAAGATCTTTTGGTTTTATACATTTCAACATTCTCTTTTCATTTCTTTATAAAATACCATTGGAGTTATCAGGATTGCATTTAATCTACTATAGATTGCTTTGCATATTGTAGAAATCTTCATGACACTCCATTTTCTTTCTTTTTAAAAAAAATATTTTTATTGATTTCAGAGAGGAAGGGAGAGGGAGAGAGACAGAAACATCAATAATGAGAGAGAAACATTGGTTGGCTGCCTCCTACCCGCCCCCTACTGGGGATCAAATTGGCAACCTAGGCATGTGCTTTGTCTGGAATCAAACCCAGGACCCTTCAGTCCACAGACTGACAATCTATCTATCCACTGAGCCAAACCAGTTAGGGCTCAATTTAATTATTTTTTTAATTCTCATTGGAATAGTGAGAATATTTTATATATATATGTATACACACACACACACACACACACACATATACATACATACATATATATATTTTAGAGAGAGAGAGAGTGTGAAAGGAAAAGGAGGAGAGGGATTAAAAGTGGGGGGAGACATTGATGTGACAGAGACACATCGATTGGTTGCTTCCCATAAGTGCCCTTATTGAAGGAGCAGGGATCCGTTTGGAAATTGGAAACCTGCTCTTGACTGGAAATTGATCCTAGGACTCTCTAGTGCACAGGCCACAATGGCCAGGGCTATTTATTTTTTCTTTAAAACTTTTTCTTATTTATTTATTTAACTTATTTTTAAAATATATTTTAATTGATTTTAAAGTGGAAGGGAGGTAAAGAGCCAAAGAAGCATTAGTTAGGAGAGAGAATAATTGATTGGCTGCCTCCTCCACACCTGTGGTGACCAAGCCCACAACTTGAGCATGTGTCCTGATGAGAAATCCAACAGTGCCCTCCTAGTTTATAGGATTGATGATCAATCACCACGCCATACTGGCTCACTTTTATTTATTTATTTACTTACTTACTACAGGGTGTGTGTGTGTTTTTTTAAGTATATTTTATTGATTTTTTTTTTTTTTTTTTTTTTTTTTTTTACAGAGAGGAAGAGAAAGGGATAGAGAGTTAGAAAAATCAATGAGAGAGAATCATCGATCAGCTGCCTCTTGCACTACCCCTACTGGGAATGTGCCCACAACCAAGGTACATGCTCTTGACCGGAATCAAACCTGGGACCTTTCAGTCCACAGGTCAATGCTCTGTCCACTGAGCCAAACCAGTTTTGGCCAGATAAATTTCTTATCTCTGCTTCATTTATCTTTAAGAAGAGTTCCCTCGTTCTTTCATTTGGGAGTGGTTTCTTTGTTTCTTCATTTTGGTTATTTGGGTTTGTGACTATGTTTTAGGTAAATCCTCTATATCACTGGCTCTCAACCTTCCTAATGCTGTGACCCTTAAATACAGTTCCTCATGCTGTGGTGACCCCCAACCATAAAATTATTTTCGTTGCAACTTCATAACTAATTTTGCTACTGTTAAGAATAGTAATGCAAATATCTGGTATGCAGGATATCTTTGGCAACCCCTGTGAAAGGGTCATTCGACCCCCAGATTGAGAACGGCTGCTATACCTTTCAATCTCTAGTGTAGGACAGTGTTAAAGGCTGTTTCTGACTAATTGGATCAGGCAAAGACTCAAAGTCTTCACATTGATAGGATTCCAACTTGAATTGCCCCCAGGCAATTGTCCTTCAGGTGTGGTGAGAGTTTTGTGTTTGTTTGTGTGTGGGGTTTTTTTGTTTTTGTTTTGTTTGTTTGTTTTGTTTTGTTTTTTAATATATTTTATTGATTTTTTTTACAGAGATGAAGGGAGAGAGATAGAGAGTTAGAAACATCGATGAGAGAGAGTCATCGATTAGCTGCCTCTTGCACACCCCCTACTGGGGATATGCCCACAACCAAGGCACATGCCCCTGACCAGAATCAAACCCGGGACCCTACAGTCTCCAAGCCGATGCTCTATCCATTGAGCCAAACAGGTCTCAGCTTTTTTTAACAGGGTGGAGCAGTTGCTTTTGCCTGCAGGCTATTATTTATTTATTTATTTATTTATTTATTTATTTATTTTTATTATTTATTTCAGAAAGGAAGGGAGAAGGAAGAAAAAAAGAGATAGAAACATCTATGATAGAGAATCATAGATGGGTTGCCTCCTGCATGCGCCCTACTGGGGGTCGTGCCCACAACCCGGGCATATGCACTTGCCCAGGAATCATATAGGGTTAGGGTTAGGGTCAGGATTAGCAGGCCAGTGGTCTATTCACTGAGCCAAACTGGCTAAGACTGTTACTTTTAATCTCTTATGTGGCCTCAGGGCTTGATGTTTTCCAATAGGGTGTGGACTGTCTTCTCCCCAGGCAAGGCTAATGTATCTGGGAAAGATATCCTCCACTGAGTGAGGGTGTGACTCAGCCCAGGGAATTTGAGGTGTCTGCTTTCTGAGCTCTATCCTCTGAGTCCCCAGCTTGGCTTCTGCTCTCACAGCTCCAGTCCCCTGTACCCTCCTCTAGGTGGGTAGTTCCACAGGGAATTTTTGTGTGTTTTCCTTTAATTGGATGTCTGAATTTTCAGTTGTCACTCCCTGGCAGACGGCACCCCACTGCTTTTCACAGCTAGATGTTATATGGGTACCCTCCTTGGTTTTGGTGCTCTTTTCTGGGGAACCCAGCTTCAGGATTAGATCCCAGAGTTCTCAGTGGCATCACCCACAGCTGAGATATCTCTCTGAGACTTTGGTTGCAGTCTGTGGGTGCCCAACCAGCACTTTTGCTCCTCTGCCCTTCCTACCAGTCTCTATGCGTCTCCACCTTTGGTCCTTTGGTGTCAAAGTTCTCATCTGTGAGTTTTCCATTGATTATTCAGGAAGCCTTTCTGTATTTCAGTTGTAATTCCAGCTTGTTCCTGGGAGCATGTCTGTGCAGCATCCTCCTACTTTTCCGCCATTCTTAATCTCTGGGCTTTATTTATTGATTTCAGACATAGGAAGGGAGACAGAGAGAAAGAGGGAAACATTGATCTGCTGTTCTACCCTTCTATGCATTCACTGGCTGTTCCCTGCATGTGCCCTGATGGGGAATTGAATCCACAACCTTAGTGCATTAAGAACATACTCTCACCAACTGAGCCACCTTTCCAAGGCTCTGTATTTGTTTATTAATTTTAGAATTTTATAGTAGGATATTGATAATTTCCTCTAAGGTCATGTCATCAGCCAGCATCTCTTATGATGTGTTGTGGTTTATAGTGTCAGATCTAATTTAATTGGCTGTCCTGAAATTCCTATTTATTTATTATTGATTTCTGATAGAGCGGAATAGAGATAGAGAGAGAGAAACATCAATGTGAGGAGATGTTTGGCTGCCTTCCTCACACACCCAAACTAGAAATGGAACCCATATCCTGATAAGTGCCGAGACCAGGAATTGAACCCCTTACCCTTTACACAAGACATTACTACAACCAACTAAGTGACACCGGCCAGGGCTTGGGGTGTGTGTGTGTGTGTGTGTGTGTGTGTTTAAGTATATTTTTATTGACTTTAGAGAGAAGGCAGAGGCAAGTGAGTTAGAAATTTCAATGATGATTGAGGGGGCATGCCCCCTACTGGGGATCAAGCCCACAACCCGGGCATGTGCCCTTGACCGGAATTAAACCTGGGACTGTTTAGTC